CCGGGGCACGAACCCGTGTCCCCTGCATCGGCAGGCGGACTCTCAACCACTGCGCCACCAGGGAAGCCCTGGGGATAGATTTTTAAGGCTTTGATACAATTTGCTAAATTGCCTCCTGAAAGCAATTTATACTCCCATGGTGATATCTGAGAGTGCCCATCTCACAGCGCCCTTGCCTGCACTGAGTGTTACCACTTTAACGGCAATCTTTGCAAATATAAAATTTTTAAAATATAAAATTTTATAAAATATAAAATTTGCAAATATAAAAGCAAAAAAATGGCATCTTATTTCAATCTGCACTTCTGGGCTGTCTGGCCAAGGTGTATATTTCCCTACTGTAGTCAAGACTACTTATATCTTTAGCCCGTGGAACTACTGGGGTTCAGGATGTGTTCTTAATTCTGAAAAGGGACAAACAAAAACCCCATGTTTGAGACACTAAAGTTCTCTAAAGTCTCAGCCCCTCTGGAGGCCTCTTAGCATATACTTTTTTTTGGAAACCGTGATTGAAGATGACTGACTGGGGGAGAAAGGCATGCTGAGAACCTGCCTGGAACTCAGTTGGGTGGCTCATCTGTGAGAGCAGGCACCCGGCAGTGGTGAAATTGTTAGACTGGGATCCAGAAGCCCGGGTCCCAGCTCCAGCTCTGCGCCTGACATGCCATGTGATGCTGGCACATTCCTTCCCTTCTCAGCTGTCCTACTAGAAGATCTTTGGGGTCCCTTTTGTGATGCCCAGGGGTGTGAAATCTTGCCTTCAAAGCCACTGTAATAGCTGGCTGGGCTCATGAATAAGGAAGCAGTGGACCACCTTTACTGAGCATTTATGATGTGTGTCAAGCACGTAGAGGGAAACTGAGACTTAGGTTATGTGACTTGCCCAAGATCATCCTGCCGGTAGTAGGCAGAGTAGGGATTTGGACCCAGGCCTCCCGACACCAAAGTCTTTGATTTTAAAATCCACATGGTACTTCATCATGGGAAACCAATAGGGCTGAGGATGGTTGATCATGTGTTAGCCCCTGCTCCATCAGGTTGCTAGGCCAACTAAGTGGGTCAAATAAAGTTGCCGAGTGCTTGGCATGTACGGACGCTCCATAATAGTATGATTATTAACGATTAGCTCAGGGTTTCATCACTGAGGTTAATGGGCTTCAGGGGTCCAGTGAATCCCTCGAAATTAAATGCAAAATAAAAAGTTTGTATGCATGTATGTGCACACATACGCATCTATATGAATTTTTCTGGGGAAGGAACGGGACAGTTGCTTTAGTCACTAGAGCTATGCTGGGACTTCCCTGGTGGTCCAGTGGTTGAGAATCCGCCTTCCAATGCAGGGGATGAGGGTTCGATCCCTGGTCAGGGAACTAAGATCCCACATGCCGCGGGGCAACTAAACCCGAGTGCCACAACAAAAGATCCCGCATGCCGCAATGAAGATCCCGCATACCACAACTAAGACCTGAGGCAGCCAAATAAATAAATAGATAGAATTTACTTTAAATAAATAAAAGCTTTTTTAAAAAATAGAGCTATGCTAAGCAGGCAGCTTCCATCTGGGCTACCTGTCCCTGATGAGAGCCATTGGGCTTTCCTGTTTGATCAGAACCAGCCCTTCCCCCATCCTAGGCAGCTGCGTTGGTCAGTCCTGCCTTGTCCCACCTCTCCCCACCAGTCCCGGCCAACTGTCTTTCAGTGTGTGCCAGTATCCAAACTGGAGCCAGCTGATTCAGAATTTGCTCTCTTAACCCTCCCTTACATGGCAAAGGGAGAGAACTCTTGCTTATGGAGTTAGGGGGCTCAGGACCTCGGCCCTTCCCTGTTCCCTGCCCCTCCCCGGACTTCGGTCTCCTCTTTTCTCAGTTGAGAGCATTGGTCTAGGAGGACGTTGCCTCGATGCTGAGAGGGCTGAAGGACCCCTTGTGATGCTGGGCGTTGCTGAGCTCCCTGTGGGGTCTTTTGCCCATTCCTTCCACACAGAGAGATTTGGCTGAATCATTCCCAGGGGTCTGCTTTTGGAGCAGTTCCCCCTTTGCATGGATGAGAAGCAGCAAATCATTTCCATCTGCTTTTCACCCATCACTTGTAACCCAGGACACTCATTGGTGAGAACGTGGCCACGTCTGTCAGGTGTTGGCTGGAATAGTTAGCCCAAGAGTATGATACTTGCTGGTGCTAAACCACTTTCCCCACTCTCACCCATCCTATAATTATTCTGCACTCTAACTATTCATATTAGAGATGGGAGTAGGGGATGTAACCACCCCAGTTTGCCCAGGACTGTCCCAGTTCTAAATCTGAAAGTGCCACATCCCAGGTCCCCCTAAGTGGATCACCCTGGAGCACTGGTTCTCAACCAGGGGTGATTTTGATTCTCAGGGGACATTAAACAATGCCTAGAGACATTCTTGGTTGTCAAAAATAGAAGTGGTGGTGCTATTAGCATCCAATGGGTAGAAGCCAGAAATGCTGCTAAACATCCTACAATGACCAGGACAGCCCCACAGCAAAGGGTTTTCTGACACCAAATGTCAATAGAATCCTCGCCCTAGATGGAAGGCAGAACTCCCAAATGTAAAATAACCCCACAGGGCAGCAACACAAAACATCACAGCAAACGTCCACATTTCTCAGCCTATCTGTAGTTTCTTTAACAAAAATTAAGCCACACAACCGATTAGAAGTAGAGTTTGTGTTATTTTTCTAATTTTGGAGCTAAAACATGTAACTATTATAAACCCATGGCTTAAAAGCCCCGGGGCATTGCTAGAACACTGTGTTTAAATTTAAGGGTACAGACTTCACCAAAGGATGCTGCAGAGGGGGAGTCTTGCATTTCCTCCCTGAGTTTGGGATGAAGCTGACAAACTGCATCATCATCTCTCTGACAGAGGGAGGATTGCCCCCTCCCCACTCAGCGTATCCTTTCCTGTAAGGTGGGTCTCTTCACGCGTCTCCTCTCTGTGAGAGGGTCCGAGTCTCATCACTCCCTCCCCAGTGTGGATGTGAAGCCCGAGCTTCTGTATTAGGGAGGCTGACACCACACCCAGCGCTCTGCCGCGCATGTGTCCACTGCTTTGGTTTCCATCTCTAACTTGGTTTCCCGCCCCTGGTCGCCTTCCTCACTTTCTTGGAAGCCCAGCTTAATTTTCAAAGGATGTTTGTAAAGTTTATCTGTATTTCTGGATGTCTATAGTGGAGACGTTTTCTGTTCTCTAATTTACCATAAGGTCTGATCTGGAAGTTTCCACCCTCGTTGTCCTCTATCTCTTTTTCTTTTCCTTCACTTAAAAAAAAATTAAACTTTTGGTTTTCGAAGAAATTTAGATTTACAGAAAAGTTGCAAAAATATTATACAGAGTCCCTGAATAACCTTCATCCAGTTTCCCCTGATGTAAACTTCCCACAGTACATTTGTCATAACTAAGAAATTAATATGGGTACATACTCTTCAGTAAACTACAGGCTTTATTCAGATTTCACCAGTTTTTTCTTTTTCTGCTCCCAAGATCCAACCTAGGATACCCCATCACATTTGCTCTACCTTTGTGATTTATTTGATATCAAATATTATAGTATAGCTGTCTTGATTAAAGCCACTGCTCCTTTCTTTCCCCAGAAAAATGCAGTGTACACACACACACACACACACACACACACACACACACACACACACTGGGTCAACAACTTAGGTTGAGTTCCAACAGGCAGTACCTATGCTGGTTGCACAGTGCACACACACACACACACACACACACACACACACACACACACACACACGGCATGCGGGATCTTAGTTCCAGACCAGGGATCGAACCCATGCCCCCAGCAGTGTGGAGTCTTAACCACTGGACCACCCGGGAAGTCCCATACACACACAGTTTTGATTAGACAAAACTGACAAGAATTGGCTGGAACTGACCAGCCAATTGTCTAGCATTGTTGGATTTTTGTCCCAAATCATCTTTACCTCCTCTCTTTC